AACCCCCCCCCCCCCCCCCCCCCCCCCACCTTCCATGACAGTCCTGATGACGCCAGTCCGGCCTACTCCCCGATTAACTGAGGCACAGCAAGAGGATGGAAGGAAGCGAATGGTGCAGGAGCTCTTTGGTGTTGTAGGAGATCGATATATCGGCGCTCCGTCCCCGGTTGTCACCGACAGTTAAAGACCTGGCGGGACCGCGGGGGGGAGCGGGGTCGGGGAAGTAGAAAAGGCGGTGACTGCTGTGTAGTATCCCCATTTGCTATGTTAGTCGTAATGTTTTTTACCAGCAGGATTGTTGGTCCGCAGGACAAGGATAGGGCGGAAAGTACATACCCTCATTTGGTTTTTTTGTGCGTGGAGTCTGAGGTTGGCAGGGCCGACTCTCCGAAAAGTGTGTGGAATGGCGAGTTTTAGCGTAGAGTCTGGGAGAGGCTGGGTCGCGACTTACGAAACTGTGTGTGGGTGTCGAGTTGCAGGTCCTTTGTTCCTGGACGATCGCTTTGTTCCTGGACGATCGAAGCGAAACCTTGTAGTCGGGGCAAGCTTTTTGTCGACGTATCGTTCCGCCAATGCCTGTGTAGAAGCGGACTTGCCCCCCCCCCCCCCCCCGGCCCCCGCTCCCTCCCGGGTTTTGAGGGGTGCCAGGGCCATGGGCTAACCACAGAAGGGTGGGTGGGGGTGTTTCAAATTTCCCCTTAAACAAAAATGGCCACCAGTGGGGGAAGTAATTTTTTTTCCGGGCCAACTTTGAAACTGGGACCTACAGTAATAAAAGGTGTTTTTAAACTCCTCCGGGAAACACCGGGTTGGGTGCCCCCCTATGTGAGGGGCATTTTGTTGGTTGAACCCCAGGGGGGGCGTAATTTGGTTGGTTTTCCCTCCAGAAAAAAGTGCCAAAACCGCGGCCCCCATGTGGGACCTGTCTGTGTCCCTGTTCCACCTGGAGGAACCCAAGCCCAAAAAAAGGACTGGTGGGTTCCCACAAAAATAAAAAAACCAAACCCC